GGATGATTGTCTGAAAATTGGCCGCGAGTGCCCTCCGCGTCTAACCGCGTTCCTCGCGAGATGGGAAAAGCGATTACGGCGACCGTTAACCGTAACGTAACTGGGCATGGAAATGACGCTCCAAATTTCTCTGCCAACGCGGACGTGGTTGCGCAAACGTTGCAAACGTGTCGAAACTTCCCACGTCGAGGGTAACCGGAGGAATCAAGATCGCGAGGACAACGAACGCGTTTCGTCCGTGGCGTTTGCAGGGATGAGAGGCCGATCCCGATGCGACTCGAGCTTTATTCGGGACTCGGAGAGATATCTCACTCGGCACGCCGACTCGCGCCATGGCCAGATCTCGCGCGTGCTGGGACCGCGCGACGGTCGAGGCGGTGGAGAAAGGACTAAAAAGGAAACGATTCCGCGCCCAAGCTAAATCACCGCCAAGGCATTACGTTATAACGATCTTGCATAAATGCTCGACATCTTGGTCGGCCGTAACGCGGTCCTCGCCCATTCACCGCGGCTCCTCGCGCATACGCGTCATTAACTGTACGCCCCGAACGTCGATCTTTACGACCTGCGTCAATGTCTTCTTTCCTCCCATCTGCATCCCCGGGAATCTCGGGACGTCGATAAAAAATGCCAACCGGCAGGGGATCTGAATTTATTGCGGACGAAATTTACGAGCCGAGCACACCGCTCCCGACATCCGTATTCACGACGGAATAATTTCAACTGTTTTTGCGTTTTAATGGAACGACCTGCGTGCGGAACAGGGCGAGATGAACTCCGGTGGAGGCAAAGAGCGGGTCCGTTGTTTGGAAAGGTGTGTGGTACTCTCGAGGGGTTCGGAAACCAGTCGGAGATTGTTCGAGAAGCGTTAAAGTACTCGAGACGAAGTGTGTTCTATTTGCGGTACAAAGGCTCCGCGTTTTTCTTTCCGAAGAAAATTAGCTATATTTTAATACACTACGGGTCGATTTACATTTAGCGTGGTGGAGATACAGGCACGTTAATGCCCACTTTAACGTTCGCAACGTGGGACCGTGTCTGGACGATTATCTGGGCGGGTGACTTCTGAGAACACGACTGAGAGAAGGGGACTGAACGAGTGCGAGAGAGATATGGAATAATGGCACAATGCGTACGCTGCAATGACAAAGAATAATATCGGCGGCACTTTGTGAATCTAGCTTTAAGAATTGGCGGGGATATCAAAGTAAGCGGAATCCTTAGCCTCGCCGGGCAGAACGTTTAAGGTATCTCGAAACTCGAGTTTGATAAATAGGTCCCCCTTCGAAGAAGCTGCGCGATTATATAAATTCCCAGTGCGATATAAATATTTATAACATCGGATGTTGGAGGATACAAAGATCGCGCATTTTTCACTCAACTGGCGCCACTTCGTTTGACTCGCGAAGAATTATGCGAATCGCACTTTGAGGAAAACATCCTGAGCGCGGTTTCGCGTTGTTCGTACCTGGTGACAAGTTGCTGGACGACCGAACGGGACAGGATCTTCGCGATTCGTCGCACAAATTCGCGTGAATCGTCATTGGTCGATGACGCAATGCACAAAACATTATGTTCGACGGCGCGATTAAGTATGCAGCGCCATCGGGTCGTCTACTTAATTACGCTCATCCTTCTACATCATTATGTATCATTTCATAAATCAATCGAAGAATCTTCGCGTTCGCGTGGATCTTGATCGACACGAGCCAGTAGGTACACCGGAAACGCGCCGCAGTATCGATCCCGCGATCGAAGAATGATTTGCAGAAGCAGAAAAAAAACATCTCCGACTCCCCTGATTATTTCACGCTACTTACTCATGTAAAACGAATCCGAGGCAGATGATCATTTGCGGACGAGTTCCTAGGATCGCAACTATATAATAACGTTGTTGCGCTTTGCATAACACTCGCGTGCGAATTAATTTAACTTGGACACGCGAAAGGAACGCCGTACCGTCGTTTCGTCGTAAAACGAAATGATCATTCGGGTGTTTGACGTGCGTGTTTATCATCTTCGTTGGATCCGCGGATCGTTAATCCTTTCGCTACGGTGAGCATCGCTACAGAGTCCCTCCCCTAGAACGAAGCGCCGTGCTAAAGATGGAAACATTACGCAAATTAAGAAAAAGAAAAAGAAAAAGAAAAGGAAAACCGATCATCGCAATAGCGCTTGCAATTCTTTGCAGAGATGGAAACATTACGCAAATTAAGAAAAAGAAAAAGAAAAAGAAAAAGAAAAGGAAAACCGATCATCGCAATAGCGCTTGCAATTCTTTGCGAAGAGAGTTAATTAGAACGGGAGCACTTGTTTTAATTTTTGACTCAATTTTTGTGGTCAGTGACTATAGTCATCCGTCGATGGTAGATGGCGCCTCGTGACCAGTGACTATAGTCACCCGTAGTAGCGAAAGGGTTAACCACCAAAAGGCGCCACCGAGCACTCGTACGGAAAACGCGAGTATTTCGAATTTCGGGCCAAAGTGGCGAATATCGTGCGGGATCTACGCGCGATCGATCGGTTCGCGTGCCGGCGTAATGGCCGGCGTACGCAGAGACGACGCCGCGTAACGCGTGCAACGCCACGCACTCGCACACGTGGGGGTTTCACGGGCGTGCGGTCGCGCATCGTATGAATGGTGTGGGACAATGCTTCTCTACCATGACCCACTGACACACAAATAAAGATATTAACGCGATATTCATAGACGACGCGATTTTTCTCATCCCTGTGTATCTACGGAATTGCGTAACCAAGTCGCTAGTTGCAACTTCGCCGATCTCCGACCGAAATTGTTGCGAAACGCAGAAGGCCGGCGGGACATACGCGCTATCAGTGTGTTAGTATTGTTTATGAAGTTTCGAAACGTGTTCGTGGAACATCGGAATTCGGCGTATTCGAGCCTGGAAGGATATAAAATGTACCGCTATACTTTCACTCATTTCCAGCAATTTTTTTTCCTCTCCGAGTTTCCGAAACGATTAATAGGGCTCCACGCAAGAGCGTTTCGTCACCGATGGAAACGTGTTCGTGGAATTCGGGCCCTCAGGCCTGTAGGCAAATTTCGAGAGTTATTCGAGGAACCTCGCGCGTTGATCGATCGCTATGACGGCATTTCCTTGAGATCTTCTCGCTGTCTCGCGACGCGATTAGAAATCAACGATCGAATTGTACCGCTTGTTACCGCTTTGCGGGTAAAAACCGGGATGGAGTAGGTACTTTCAGTGTACCGGATATCCTAGGTGATTTTACATAGCTTTCTTCTTCCATGGGAGTTCCAGTGTTAATAAAGCACGTTCTCTCGCGAGATATGAAATTTCCTCGCGCAATTTTGCCGCGCGAGAGGCGCTCTCGAACGATCGACGGGTAAACGTGGTTTACCTGCGAGCCTGCGGCCCAACAATGTAGATACCAGTGGATGGCCGTCGATGATCCACGGCTTTTCACTTTGGCCTCGTTTGCACTACGTTTCGTCGCGCTATCTACAGCTGCGGGATTTGAATTTAAAGTCATTGTCGCTTCGCGATTGGTATTGACGAAACCTTCGGTATCACTGTCCTTCGATCATTCCAACGTGCCTGCCGCAATTATATCTCCCGACGATGCTCCCCGGCAACGTTAACGATGCCGTAAAATACACGAATAACAATGAATCCAGAAGCGTGCACTTGCAACGCAAAATACAGGGACCACAGCAGCGTTTCGACACGAAAATATTGCGAATTCAGTGTACCCGGGCTCGTAAAAACGTTCTAACCCTGACACACATACGATCTGGAGTCAAAAATTCCCAAATACCTGCGCTCGTAGCTCGATCGACACTAATCGTTATCGTTAAAACATGATCGCGCCGCGACATTCCATTCGCCGTAGTCTAATTTCTAAACGAGGCACAGTAGCAGTCGTCGAAAGCGACTCGTGTTTCGTCACGATCTACTGACCACCGAAAAGGAAACCCATTTGCTTTTGTTTTCGAGCATCGTCTCTTCTATCGGAACGAATCACAGCTAGCCTTTCTTCCGCAGAAATGCCGCGTCATTGGGATAATTAAAAGTGGAACGACCCGGCCACGCGAATCTCCGAACCCCTGGGCACGAGCCAAAGAAAGCACGCGACGTGCCGGCATCTCGCGAATTATAGCCATTCCGTAGACAAACGCGAGATAATCGGTCGAATCTGTTGAAAGAGACCCGTGTAAATTCGCCTATACTCACGAGCATGGATTTGTTGAACTCTGAAATTACGAAGTCGGTGATACTATGATCACCACTTTACGGCTCGAATGACGCGATCGAAACGGACGAGTGTGAATTCGTCTATACGCGAAAATACGAATACGAAAGTACAACTTCGATGGTAATACGATTATGCAATGCTGGCAACATCGAAAAAGTCAAAATTATTCTTGTTCGTCCCGCTAATTTAATTTTTGTCATCTATACTATATTTATGTAGATATTGCACGAATCGATAATTGCAGTGCTCACAGTGACAGAGTTCGTTAAATTTGCCTACAGTCGTTGCAATAAATTCATCGGACTTCAAAAATGTGACGTCAATAATTGTAATACGATTACCATTCAGCAGTGACAGTAATATAATCGAAGCAGGCGAATGCATAAGAAATTCATCTATATTGGCTGCAACAAATTTGTCGAGCTCTAAAAATATGACGTCAATTGCGATTCGACGATTGTTTAACGCGCATGCACACCGATAGGATTCGGAAAAACGAACATGGTTTAAATTCGCCTACAATCGCTACGATAAATTTAACGAACAATAAAAATACACCGTCAACTGTAATACGATTGTTATTTAACAGCGACAATGACACGGTTGAAGAAAACGAGTACGATAAATTCGCCTACGCCTACGCGAGTGAGTTCGCGATGACGTCACCGGTAATACGATTATTACTTAACAGCTACAAAGATGATGCGAGCGAGATCTGCGTCTAGTTTCATCGAATGTCATTTTCTTTTTCTTCTTTACAGATGGCGAGGCTCGGTATACAAGCTAATCTGGCGGGAATTGTTGGCCTATCTGTTCGTCTACTACCTCATCAATTTAACATATCGATATGCGCTGAACGAGCAGCAGCGGGTGTGAGTACATGAATACGTTCATTTGAATACGTTCCCGCGGTGGAGCCTGGTCCGAAGGCTGAAGCCTTAACCGGTCGCGAATAACGCGATAACTCGGCGAATCTCCTTGGAATTAAGACGCATCGATAAATACGCGAAACAGAACTTCCTTTCCTCACCTCTCGAGGAAAAAGGAAGACGAGACAGGGCCATCATCGACCAACGTTTCGCGAGTGACAATATTTCGAATCGAAAGGGAAGCAACTCGATAACCCGTGGCACCTTCTCCGTTTTATCGAGACGAAGCCGGACGTTAGCCGCGGATATCAGCTGCCATAACCGCGATCCTCGCGTCGTCAAACCCACGCGACATCGACCTTGGTCTCGCAACAAAGCCTCTCGCGAATAGGATCGAGATTACGTTACATCGGCGAACATCGACGAATTTACGACAACCCGGTTTTATCGCCGTTAACGTCGTCGTCCTCTTTGTTACGCGACCCCCTGTTCCCCCCTTATCGCTGGTTCTCTGTTACGCGAATCGTTTTACGATTGCCACGATAAGCGGGAAAATGGTCGCCGAACTGGGGCCAGCCATTAATCGTCGGGAATAAAATTGAATTTTTAACGACGGAGTCGATTAATTCGGCAGACGCTGATAGCGGCCGGAGACCGCCACCGGAAGTCGATGGTCGAGGACGCCGAGATCTAGACGTCGTTGCTGTTAAAACGATTCTTCGCGGACGCGTCCGTAAGCAATGACACTTTACGTCTCTGTTCCGGATATACGTGCATCGGCTAAGTCGCGGATCTCGTAAATAAAATTGTTCCACCCTGCACGGGCCCCGCGTTTTGTGCAACGGAATGTGCCGGCGACTCGTCCCGGGTCGGCATTAAAAAACGCATAAAAACGTAACCTGTTATTTACGTCGGGATAAAAAAACGAACGAAGAAGCGCGATGGCAGGGCTGGCGGTTGTTAAAAAAGACCCTCCTTTGAGCCGCTTCGATTCGTACGGTCTAAATTTAGAACCGTAGGGCCGGTTCCTGTAAGGCTTAGGCCCGACCGGCCCAAACAATCATACCAGGGATACGCCAAACGGGAATAAAGACTTGCCCGAGCGTATATTTTAACCGTTTCCAGCGGTAAATCTTGCCCTTTTAATAGCATTTTTAGTGTCATCTGGACACAATCGAAATTGTCACCCGGTATACCGTTTCTCGAATCTATTCGTCCATTCGATTCCGAAAGTTACGGAGAAGCGTCGAATTTTTGTCCTCCATTTTGGAAATTTTCTGCGATTCGGACTTGTAAAATTTGTATTCCTGGAGTTTCGATTTTTTAAATTTCTTTAATTTTCTTGCACTGGTTTTTAACATTCTCGATTACCCCTTGAAGAGTTTCTTACACTTCTCGTAATTGCGCGATAATTTTGTCAAAACTTACGTAACAGCTTTGGCTATCTGCCGGAGTAAATAGAGCTCGAGATCAAATGGCAACGAAAGCATTGAACTGAGTCCACACAAGTGCATTAACCTTACGATGCTCTAACTGCTGACGCGTGTTTCGTAAATCTAATTCGCTAAACTCTCCGACTCGCAACCGGTCATATTCGCTTTTCGCAACAACGTAAATTCCTCTCTTACTAACCCGAGTACCATGTTAGGACGAAAACGCGGTAGACTCGAATCCGTGCACCTTCGGACCACGGTTGCTGTCATCGAAAATCGTTATGGGTTACGCGAAGCGCCGAAAATAGAGAACGACGAGCCGCTAGCAAATTTTCGCGAGCAGCCGCGAAATCTCGATGGAAATTCCCATTTAGCGCGAGCTACCGGTACATAAGACCGGTAGTGGTATCTCGCTGGGTGACGGTATCACCTCAACCTTGCTCCACTTGTAGGCGAGGCGGTACAAGAATTCCGCCACGCGTGATACTAAACAAATATTTAAGCGTACACGCAATTTGCGAACGTTCGATTCGTTTCGCGAGTCGTGTCACGTTAATTGCTCGTTCCAACGAATCGTGCAGTTCCCTCGAAACGGGATAGGAAGGGAGAAGGTAGAAGACCTCGGGCATTCCAATGTCGGTTCACGTTCAATAAGGTCTCGCGATGATGGTCTGTTGCAGAATCTTCGAAAAGATAAGGTACTACTTCGGGAACTCGAGCGAATCGATACCGATGTCGTTCGTGCTAGGATTCTACGTGAGCCTGGTGGTGAAGCGATGGTGGGAGCAATACAAGCTGCTGCCCTGGCCCGACAATCTGGCCCTGTTTATCAGCGCAGCGATTCCTGGTAACGTAAGTATAACCGCCGAAAGAAATGCAGTTCGAAGGTGATTCGCGAAATGAGAGGGAATACGCGAAGACGGCGTTCCCAGAAACGGCGGGAAAGAACGATAAACGTAGCCTTGCACGGATAGTAGCCGTCGTCGCCGCGTTTGTCTCATTACGCTAATGAATTGCCGTGACACGTTTCGGTGTCGTTAACCTAAGTAGGTGCCAGCTCTCGGAGTCACGCCACGCCCAGGAGCGAAAAAAAATGCGAAGAGCGATCATCCCATAATTGGCAAGCGAGCGAATCCTCTTGTTCCTTCTGCGTCTGTCTTCCTAACGGACAGCCGGCCACGACAGACCGGCCTGTTTCCCGGGACGCTGTTCGCGCGACCCTTGGCACGCGATTCCCAACTCCTGGCACACGTGTTCGCTCGCGACACGCAGCACGCGTTGCGAGAAATTGCCGCCCATTATCGTTACTTTCTCTGATCGCGTCTGAACCGATAACGAAAGTTCCTTCCTACGAACCAACGCTGCATGCCTGTCTGCCTGCCTGCCTGCCTGCCTGGCATAGGTATAGCGCGCGGTACCTCCGATCGACCCGAAATCCGAGTCACCGCGTTACTTCATCGTTATCTAACGATCGAGGTTTCCACGCTTGGATCTCTCCAGTCGACAACCATGCGCGTGTCTTTCTCTATCTCTCTCTCTGCTCGCTTCAGCCACCAAGGTGGCGACCAGTTTGGCAAAGTCAAAGACGAACCTCGAATTCGTCGAGGAACGATCTTCCAGCTGGGTGGTCAATGACACAATGTCGGGAGTGAAAGTGCAATCGTATATCGTAGCAAGAAAGAAGGACGAACCTACGCGTCGTGCACACCTCGCGAGCAAGAGAGCTGCGTCCGTCCTCGTTGCTCGCCGCGGACTGCATCGCTGTTAGCGCTCCGCGAACTCCAGGCTCGCGGAACGCGCCACCCAAGCTGCAAACTGGCGAACGCATACCGTGTCGCGAAACTGGCTGCAAGTTTTCCCGCTGGCTACCGGTGTGTCGTATTAATAGAACGAGTCGATCCAGCGTCGAAGGACTGAATCGTTTCCTCGTGCAATCCTTCCTTTCGCCACGTGTCCTCTCCTCTGCATCGTTCCTCGAGAACGACGCTCGCGACGTTATACACCTCGAGGATTTGGAAGAGGGTACGAGTTTCGACGACCGGACGAGGATCAGACGTTCGAGCGACGGAGTCGAGGTGCGTCGTAGCTTTCGATTTTCGAGTTACACGAGTGCCATACTCGACGAGCGCGCGACACGACCCAGCTCGCGCAGCTGCAGTTGCTGAATTTCTGCACGACAGCGAACGGAGACAAGGTCTCGAGACATGGAACGGGACTGTAGTTTTCTACGTATGTAGAAGAGAGCCGCGGTCATGTAGTCACGTAACGCAAAGTATCGGATTTGTGAATGAGCAGCGGCGAGTGGGCAGCACGAGCTTCTGGGCTGTGCCTTTCATTGAAATCTAATTGGAATTCAGGCCCCGAGGCGAGAAGGATGCCTCGACTCCCACCTTCTCCCTCGTGAGGAGGATCCTTTTCAAGCTGCCAAGCCGTGCATTTTTACACGCGCGACGTTAAGTCGCGGCATTCCGAGGAAGAAGGGACGTCTCTGCCTTTTGAGCGGACGAAATCGAGGGGGAAGAAGGACCCCGACTGTTCGTTACCGAAACACGGATCGCACTTGGAAGCGGGTGAAACCGACGAGGATGGTCACGAGTTTTCGTGCACGCGCGCGAAACGTCCTCGTCCTCGACTGATCCCTGGCACTTGCAGAAAGGATCGATCGATCGATCCGAGTGAGAAAGAAAAAGGGAAACATGGGAAAAAAGTGGACAGAAGCTCGTTTAGAGTCCACCGATCGGAGTAACCTTTCAGATGGATTCCAGCGCGAGTTTCAAATGCCTGGAAGAGATTGATAACGTAGCATCGCTTCGGGCGATGAATGCGAAGAACCTATACGAAGGTGAAACTAATTAGTCTATAACTGTGAGTCGTTGAAGAAACGAAAAAAAAAAAAAGAAAAAGGAGAGTCTGCTTAAGGAACGCGGCGTAACCCCATTTTTTTCACGTGGCTGAACAGGCTACGATAGAGAAGACTTTGAGAGCGAGGATAATGTAAAAAGCGAATTTTTTAATCGCACGAAAGGCTGCGAGCCGGCGTGCACGGATAATTTACGGCCATTCATATTTCGTAATTAACAAAGTAAATCGCAAGAAAGCGTAATTCGATATTCAAGAGTTGCGAATGAAACGTTCGGCCGATGTCGAAACGATGGCGGAACACGCTCGGTACGAGCAATTAATCGGGTATAAATCGCGTTTCCTCGGGTTTTCGGTTCGCCGACTTTCTTCCTCTAGAGCGCGGCCCGTGATCGTTCTAAATCAGCACGTGGCGTACGCCGTAACGTTCACCGTGCACGTGTTATTAGCCGGTCGAAAATTTTAGTTTCGACAAACTTTCTTCGGTCGTTGCATGCATTATATCGAGCGGACGAGACGTGCCTCGATCCTCAAAATGCTTCATCTGAATCTCGTCGTGTTCCACATACGTAACGATCCAACCGATCGACCGGCCGTCCAATTAACGATTACCGACACGATTACCGACAACCACGATTGCCAACGGTGATCGCGTCCAGTGGCGGGAAAGACCGATCGTTCGCAGAGCTCTATCGTTCCGTTCGAAAACGCTCGCGATGTGCACGCTGTATTTCGTTTCCTTCTCTCGCCTGTTTTCTCGTCGAAACGCGTGGAAATTCGTCGATCCAGGAACCGTTGGCTCCGATTTCCGACTAAATTGACATTCCACGAGGCGTGCGCGACCGTTTACCGGTGATGGCCGTTGATTACAAAACGCAGCAACGATTACAAAATGCGCGCGCGTCGTTGGCCAGAAACGAAAGGAAAAATAGCCGGCAGGCGCCACCGTGAGGTTTTTCTCCGATTAATATTGGAATCGGCTCGAAACCGGCCACGATTCGCGATCACGGGCCAAAAGAACAAGGGGAAAGTGTGTACAAGACACGGGAAACGTGTCCGGCATTCGTTGCGGCCTCGGAAACGAATTTTCGAAGCGAAGCGCCTTGTCCGGACGATACCGATTTCCATTCATTCCTGCAATGCCATTCGGTGACCTTGACAGACACAGCGAGGTGGAGAACGAAGGAAACGCTTGTTCTGTTATTATCCGATCGCATATTCGATAAAATTGTATCCAAATGGAACGATATCTCGAATTTTCTCTTTCTCCTTTGTTTATTTATTTATTTATTTTTTCATTTTTCCAAATTGCATTACGTTTCGACAGATTTTCGAAGAGTATTTCGTCTAGATCGGTGAAACGATTTTAACCCCCCTAAGAAGTGTATCGCGATGATTTATGGAATCGTGCCCTAAGTTTTTCCCGCGACCATTAACAAAAAGATTATCGCGCACGCATGAGTACACGTCGTTTTGCGTGTACTTACGTTGCGTGTAGCGGGAACGACAGAAGGGATTGCTCGAGGCGATAATTTTGAAATATTTTCACATTGCAGGACGAGAGGGGCAGACTGATGAGGAGAAACATCGTGAGATACGCGGTGCTCGCGTATGTCATTACGCTGCAGAGGATTTCGTTGCGCGTTAAGAGACGATTTCCGACGCTTCAGCACATCGTAGACGTTGGTCAGTGAGTTACCGTTCATTTTACCAAGACCGCTTTACTTTCTTTTATTCGACGAGAGGAAGAAACGCGTGTCGTTTCTAGACACTCTCGTTTCGCTGGTTCTGTGCGAGCTATTTACGGAACCGAACGTGGGATGCGGATGTATTAAAACGCGACGAGGAAGTGTAGCCGTTTTTGTCGTAACGCGTTGAAAACGAAAAAAGAAATAATATCGCCGCGAGAATGATCGATAATATATTCCATCCCTGCTCGAGTACAGTTGATTTTTCATTTCCTTTTTTTTTTATTTTTGTTTTTTATTTATTTATTTATTTATTTATTTTAAGTATGGTATCTGTGCCATTCTTAGCTATACATGTCTATGCGTATTGGAACGCGTTGCGTAAGAATTATTTCTGACACGCGGTATTAAATCGTTACTTCACTTTCTATGCCAATGATCCTATCTGTTATTCATCGCTAAGCGTTTTGACTAAGTTTGTATCTACACGTTGAGTGACAAGCAGATTCGGCCACGAGGCATCGATGAAGATCGATGAATCGTGATTTTCGATTTAGATTTACCCAAGCGGATTAACCGACAATACCGTTAAAGGATTATGAGCCGAGCGAAAAATATAATTTGGAAGCGGACGCACGATTCGGCTCGGTCGCCGTGCTTCCTTGCCGATTATTGCCACTTCAAGGACGTATAGCCAATTAACACACACGCCAGTTCCTACACGTTTAAGCGTCTGTTATGGTAACAAGGACGATTTAACGACAAAAGTACGAGAATCGATTCTAAAACGAGAGAGACACGAAGATTTTTGGCATTCCCGGTAGAATTACAATTAGTCCCTAATAAGTAATTCGTATGGATCCATTGTATGATAAACGGTGTTGTATTTGCACGCTGAAACCGTTACTTAATCGAAATTGAGCTATGTGTCACGCATAACCTTCAAACGATTGCCTGCAGATCTATAACTGTACGCCTGTGATAGAAACGTTATTTACACACTTGTTTCAAATCGTTAACGCCGTTCTAAACTCGTGTTTCGACACTTTCTTTTCATACTCGAAAACCCTGAAGGAATGCGAGGATCGTTTTCGCTCTGTCTTTGTTACCGTTAAAACGAGACGAACATACGCGAGTTTCGAACATTGATCAAATATTTCTGAAACTCCGATGTTCATGCAGTTAAATTATAGATAAGACGACTCACCCTTATCGTTGTCCTTGTCCGCCATTTTATCCACTACTGCGTATATCCAATGTTTGGAAGATCGGCTCCTTTCGTAATATTTCGCGATCACGTAGTATAATCTTCGTCGATATCACACTTCACTTCACTCACACACTTACACTTTATTATTTAATATAATCAAGATTCCTGCGGGTCGTTTTCACTCTGTCCTTGTTACCGTTAAATCGCGACGAACGTATACGAGTTTCGAAAATTGGTAAAGCATATTTTAATTTCCGATAATCACACAATTTAATTATAAATTACACGACAACGCCCTTATCGTTCTCCCTATCCGCCATTTTCTGCATCACCTACGTCCCTTCGATGTTAGAAATATCGAGAACTTTCGGAATATTTCGCGGTCATGTGACGTCATCGTCGACGATACAACACTTTCCGTACTGCGTAATGGCGTTACCCCTTATTAATATATTCCAGATTTACGCGAATTATTTTCACTCTGTCTTTATTACCGTTAAATCGCGACGAACGTATGCGAGTTTCGAACATGAGTAAGGCATTTCCGAATTTCCGATGCTCACTCAATTTAATTATTAATTACGAGCCACACCCTTATCGTTGTCCCTGTCCGCCATTGTCTGCACTACTTCGTCTAAACGATGATAGAAACTTCGAGAACTTTCGGAATATTTCGCGGTCCTGTGACGTCATCATCGACGATACGACACTTTCCGTATTTCGTAATGGCGATACCCCTTATTAATATATTCCAGATTTACGCGAATTATTTTCACTCTGTCTTTATTACCGTTAAATCGCGACGAACGTATGCGAGTTTCGAACATGGGTAAGACATTTCCGAATTTCCGATGCTCACTCAATTTAATTATTAATTAGGAGCCACCCCCTTATCGTTGTCCCTGTCCGCCATTGTCTGCACTCCTTCGTCTAAACGATGATAGAAACTTCGAGAACTTTCGGAATATTTCGCGGTCCTGTGACGTCATCATCGACGATACGACACTTTCCGTATTTCGTAATGGCGATACCCCTTATTAATATATTCCAGATTTACGCGAATTATTTTCACTCTGTCTTTATTACCGTTAAATCGCGACGAACGTATGCGAGTTTCGAACATGGGTAAGACATTTCCGAATTTCCGATGCTCACTCAATTTAATTATTAATTAGGAGCCACCCCCTTATCGTTGTCCCTGTCCGCCATTGTCTGCACTCCTTCGTCTAAACGATGATAGAAACTTCGAGAACTTTCGGAATATTTCGCGGTCCTGTGACGTCATCATCGACGATACGACACTTTCCGTATTTCGTAATGGCGATACCCCTTATTAATATATTCCAGATTTACGCGAATTATTTTCACTCTGTCTTTATTACCGTTAAATCGCGACGAACGTATGCGAGTTTCGAACATGGGTAAGACATTTCCGAATTTCCGATGCTCACTCAATTTAATTATTAATTAGGAGCCACCCCCTTATCGTTGTCCCTGTCCGCCATTGTCTGCACTCCTTCGTCTAAACGATGATAGAAACTTCGAGAACTTTCGGAATATTTCGCGGTCCTGTGACGTCATCATCGACGATACGACACTTTCCGTATTTCGTAATGGCGATACCCCTTATTAATATATTCCAGATTTACGCGAATTATTTTCACTCTGTCTTTATTACCGTTAAATCGCGACGAACGTATGCGAGTTTCGAACATGGGTAAGACATTTCCGAATTTCCGATGCTCACTCAATTTAATTATTAATTAGGAGCCACCCCCTTATCGTTGTCCCTGTCCGCCATTGTCTGCACTCCTTCGTCTAAACGATGATAGAAACTTCGAGAACTTTCGGAATATTTCGCGGTCCTGTGACGTCATCATCGACGATACGACACTTTCCGTATTTCGTAATGGCGATACCCCTTATTAATATATTCCAGATTTACGCGAATTATTTTCACTCTGTCTTTATTACCGTTAAATCGCGACGAACGTATGCGAGTTTCGAACATGGGTAAGACATTTCCGAATTTCCGATGCTCACTCAATTTAATTATTAATTAGGAGCCACCCCCTTATCGTTGTCCCTGTCCGCCATTGTCTGCACTCCTTCGTCTAAACGATGATAGAAACTTCGAGAACTTTCGGAATATTTCGCGGTCCTGTGACGTCATCATCGACGATACGACACTTTCCGTATTTCGTAATGGCGATACCCCTTATTAATATATTCCACATTTACGCGGATCATTTGCACTCTATCCTTGCTACCGTTAAATCGCGGCGAACGTATGCGAGTTTCGAACATGGGTAAGAAATTTCCGAATTTCCGATTCTCATTCAATTTAATTATTAATTAGGAGCCACACTCTTATCGTTATTCTTGTTCGCCATTGTTGACACTACTTCGTCTCGAAGATGCTAGAAAGATCGAGAATTTTCGTAATACTTCGTGGACATGTGACGTCATCTTCGTCGATACGACACTTTCCGTACTTCGTAATAACGTTTACCCCTTGGTAATATATTCAAGATTTACACGAATCGTTTTCACTTTATCGATGTCACCGTTAAATCGCGTCGCACGTATATGTGTTTCGACCATGGGTAAGGCATTTCCGAATTTCCGATGGTAACACAGTTTAATTATTAGTTAGAGGCCACACCCTTATAGTTATCCTTGTCTGCCATTGTCTACACTACTTCGTCTCAACGATGGTAAAAACATCGAGAACTTTCGTAATATTTCGCGGTCACGTGTTATAATCTTCGTCGATACGACAGTTTCCGTACTTCGCAATAGCGTTTATCCTTTGTTAATATATTCTAGATTTACGCGATCGTTTTCACTTTGTCGATTTCATCGTTAAATTGCGACGAACATATACGAGTTTCGAATATTGGTAGGGTATATGTGAATTTTCGATGGTCACACAATTTAATTATAAATTAGAAGCCACAACCTTATCGTTGTCCTTGTCTACCATTTTCCGCACTACGTCGTCTCTTCGATGTATATTAGATCGAGAACTTTCGTAATATTTCGTAGTCACGTAGTATAATCTTCGTCGATATGATACTTTTCGTACTTTGTAATAACGTTCACATTTTTGTAATATATTCAAGATTTACGTGATCTAGAATCGATAAGACACTTGTATTCTAGGATATGGTATATGTGAAAGTAAATAGGACAGTCGTCACCCGTTCACTCGTCGGAAAATAATACGGAACATCGTTCGAAAATCTTATGAATTATTGTTTAAGTGTTCACTATCCATGATATAGTCATTATGTCAGTTTTATTTGCACAAAATATCCCGATAGAAGTATGTTGAGACGTATGCTACGGATCATAGATCGTCGTATTGTCTTACCGCGTTTCTACGTACATCGCAATTCTAGTTATTTACACTACTAGGACAAAAATTATCTCGAAAACTACATTCTTTGGATACATACGTAGCAAGAACAAACCACTATAGATATACATTTCTTTTGTTTAACGAACGAAAAGATCGTGACGGAACGCAGAACAATTCACACGTGACGATCGTACCGGTCGATTCGCCATACTGGTTTAACACCCAACAAAGAAGCGCGCGCAGTTACTAAACTGTAGTTTAATCTGGCAGTAGTTTTAAAGTCATATTTCTTAATCTAATCAGCAATTTTCAATTCAAATTTAACTCCGAAGTTCCAAATCGAATTTAAAACCGAAACAAAACTTTCCAAACCTGAATATATTTCTTAAATTTGTATTTCAAGTTCAAATCTATAGTCTTATAC